TCATTTCATTGTTCAATTCCTCTTTTTGAAGTCCTGCTTTCAAGCAGCTTTTGGTATATCCGCTTAGCAATTTCATGTGCAGAAGGAAAAGACGAGCTTTCTAGTCTCCATTATCGACGAATTTCACGCCTCGTCGATCGTCTCTATGATTTCTCCGCCGCGGGCCCGTCGGCGAAGACGAATTTTTCGGTTTCCTTTTAACAATCCGATGCACCTAAAGCCTTTTAGTTTATTTCCTTTATCAGATTTCCTAACTCACTTCTTCCCACTGATAAAACTGAGCCGTGTTGGTTCTTGTTGACGACAAGATCTTGATCGCAATTTCTCTTTTTCTTTCTCTTTCTCTCACTCTTGCTGAGTATTTTTAAGAATTAAATCAAAACTTCTCAGCACACACGGTGTGCTATTTTCAAACGTTTCTTGCTTTATGTGATAACTTTTGAAGAAAAAATATAATAGTGATGCATAAAAGAGAGTACTTATTATGGAATCGTAAAATCCATTAATCGTGCACATCTGTAAATAGAGCGAAAGACATTCAAGTGGACTTCTCTGGTTGCGAGACAAATCATAGAAAAATCAAGTGGAGATTCAAACTCGCATTTACGTAAATGCGAGGACGCGGACGCATATGGCTGATACTAAAAAACTTCCACTTGCACGAGCATCTCGTTTTTAAAATTGAAATCACGCAGCATGGTTTCAAGGATACTTGAGATTCAAGGATCCGTAAATGATCGTACGTAAATACGGTATGATAAATTTATTTAAAAAAATTATGGATTATAAAAGAATTACGCAAAATCGAGCTTCTATAATTCTGATCCTATAATTGAGAGATACTACTTTGAAACGTTTAAACAGTCGATTCTTAAAAGACCAAAATGAGATTTCAAAAGTTTCTGCCTAATTGAGATGTCGAATTCCAAACTAGTCAGGCAAACAGCTAGAGCGAATTTCTCACTTTCAATATTCCGCGGAATTTTCCGAGTCCGATCTACGGTAGAACATTTCACGTTACTGCTGACTTCGCTGTTAATTTTCCAGACAGCTGACTGCCTCGACTGATATGATCGATGAGCACGACGAAAGAAAACTCATAAATGCACTATGGAGAAATTATCGAGAAACGATTTTAATACTCGATCTAATAATATTATTCTAACACAAATTTCATCAAATAATATTAAACCGATTAGATCTGGTGTAATTTGTATATTTCATTCGGATCATTTCTCTCCTTTATTATACAACCAGTAATCTTTAATTTTAATAATATTATGCCATCGTATTGAATTCGTATTTGAATCGCATTTGAATTCAAATTGAAAACAAATGTACCAATTGTTCACATAAAATATATCGGTCCCTTTTTGTTTTTATTTTTCAGCGTTAATTATTTTTATAAAATATCACGTAGTTCTCAATTTTTATTTCCATTGTTCAAATTTAAGTTTGGACTCGTGTAAACATGAAGCAGAAAGATTTAGACTAAATATTTTTTCTTCTGATTGTGAGGAAATAAAATGATCAATTGCATCTTTGTGCAAGTGGGATAAGTGTTCCTATATCTAACTCCATAGATTTCATAAGTAGATTACATACTCTATTTGCGATATCCTACGATCAATAGACAGAGTAAACATGACCTCGGCGAGAAAACTCAGGTTATAATCTAACTGCCGAAGACAATAGGAGTTTTGCAGTGCTCTACTTTTTTTTTCTCTCTTGGTATAAGTTTATCGGATTCGCCCGGGCGCGCGAGTAGAATGTATAATAATTTTTTGATGTCCGTCCTAACCACTAGTCTGATGTAAAAGCATTGCACCTATAATTGGTTTTACGTTCAGTGATTTTATTTATAGATAAAATGCTATACGTCCAATATTTACATACGTTGCGGTTTACATCGCTGGGAGCTTAAAAATGTGTAAGAGGATTAAAGCGCTGATAGCAATATTGTGCCTTAGTCACGCTCTTATTAATGCTTCCTTAATGGACACAATTTTCGTGGTACAAATCCAATTTATAGTTGCATACAGATTAGAAATACTATTAATTTTCATGTCATGCAAATTTCACAACGGCTCTTTAAAGCCTTTGTCCTAACCGTATTCGTTCCGGATTAAAATCTCCATCATTTAAATATATTACTGACAATGAGTTCCAAAATGTAAGTACTATTTATCATTATGCATTTTATTTTAATATTATATAAACTAATTCGTCTACATGGAAATCATAAAATTTCTCTCTAGAAAGATTGAATTGAAACAATATTTAAATATAATAGTAAATGGAGATGAAGTTAAAAAAAGAACAGTGGAGTAAGAAGTTTGCAAAAGTAAAAAGTATGCAGAATATTTATACCTCTGCGCTTATTATTCGTTGCTACATCGGAAATAAACAGATACTCGATTTCGATATCCCGCTCATGCATACAAATACATGCACATGTATGTATATCAAAAATGAAAAAATGAAAAATGCTTTAATGTATAAAAGTTGTACTAAATTCACACAGTTTTGAGGAATCGTGTCCAGATATTCATGAATTACACATATTAATAAAAAATTTTTAACTATTTTTTTTATTAATTATTATATAAGTTATATATTTTTGGATCGCGTTTAATTTTTCTGTCAAACGCTTTAGAAATATGTCAAATTGATTATACGCACTTCTAAATAGAAACTATGCATACGCTTCGAATCGTCTAAAATTGAAGCAGCTTCGCGAGCTAAGGTATTTTTGATTTTTGATGTACATGCAAATATTAAATTTTAACGCTACAGTATCCATGCGTGGCGCGTAATAGAAATCGTTTTTCAGTAATTTGTATGCGAAATTCGTCCGCGAACGCGTTTGCCATGCAGGCTGCCGATTTGCATAGAACGGATATTCGCGAGCGCTCGTGCCGGGGGCGCCGAATTTGCAAATCTCTCCACGCGCCGAACTTCAGATCCGCAAGGAGCTTTTTGCTCTGTCAATTCCACAGGTTACCTCTTGCGGGTACGCGGTGTTTCAGTCAGTGTCGTTTGACGATCGATACTCGGGAGGAGACAAATGGAACACGGATGAACACGCAAGTCCGCGTAGAGAAGCTACTGTTCTCTGCTCGCAAGAATGCGAAGAAATCAGTATTCTTCGTGGAGACATTTACGACGGAATTTCGGTATCGTGTGCGGTAGACAGGTTTATTTCTCCGAATTCTTCAAATCGTCAAAATGTCGACATGTATGCGTAAAATTCGTACGATGACTGATCGGATTGTCTCGAAGATACGCGAAGAATGCGAAAAGCATACTGTACACTTACTTATATGTAGCATGCATGCCTTCCGAATATCAAATGAATTCTCCGATCAATATTGTCAGCTGTTACGAACAGATATGTAATCAATAATTCCATTTTTGAAAGAAAAGGCGGATTTATAATCGTTTCGTAATTGCACATCCTATTATCAATTATTACAGCACGCAGGAGCAACAAGAAATATCAAAGTTCAAGGGGAAATTATGACGGAACAAGGATAAAGCACCATTAAGGGATCATAATGCCTTCCTCCGAGAAAAACTGTAGGCAGGTGAATAAGAGCGAAAGGGAACAAATGGCGGAGAAAAGAATCGCAGGTGCGCCTGTCAAGTCAATGCATGGCAACCACTAGAAGAACAATGAGTCCTAAATACCATCGACTTCGCCGTCGACGGTATCTCTAGCCGTTCGAGCTCCTTTTCTCCGATATTTCCCGCTGACAATTCTGCAATCTATCCTCCTCGATAGTTGGCAAGATTGAAACAGATCACTCTTTCATTTCGATCTACAGATAGCGACGGAGAAAGCTGCTACGCGTAGCAAAATCTCTATGATAGCAAGAATACTTTTTAACAATTTTTTATTCAAAGCTGACCCTTTGTCCTTTCTTATTGCAATCGATTAAATTCGATCTAACTTTATGGATATTGCGTCAGAAAACTGATCGATTAAAAAAAAAAAAAAAAAAAACGGTAACCTTTATTGTCGAGACATCTGTTTTAAATCTTAATAGAAAAGATAAATAATGTCAACGTTTGTTCAGACCAGTATTTCGCTTTTACATTCGGATCTCACTATATATCGTCTTTCTTTGCTCGTCAAAGTGTACTTTCCCGATTATATTTTCTGAGTAAGTACGGATTTCTTACTATTTTGTTAAGATTTATGGATATCTGCTTTGTAGTATTTCTGTGGTACATATTAATTAATGCGATCACGTTCGTTTTAAATTGAACAGCGAAATCATTTGGACAAATGTACTTCATTTGCGTTTTGATACGCGTAAGCATTGACGATTATCGATAAGATAGCCGCTATTATATGATTAAACATGGTGTACAATGACGAAGCACCCTCTTTTGTTTCATTAGCTATGTTAGCCGCAGAGTGGAATCGGGAACAGAACGATGGAAGATAGTGAATCGGCCAATATTGCCCTAGTAACATACTTGCTCTGTCACTGCTGTCCAACAGTTTTATCTCGCTATCTCTCTCCTTCCCTCTCTGTCTCTTTCTAATTAAGAACTTTTTTTTAGCGAGCAGTACATCTTGATAAGATAAATTGTACTTGAAGTTTCTACACATACGACGAGAAACTTGATATAAGTTTTGTTGCAGAAAAAAGGATATTAAATATTAAATATATTGCTTCTATATCAGGATCTCAGCACAGACGTCGCGATGAATATTTCCAAATTCCATCAAAATCGCCACAATCCAGTTTAGATTCCATTTCCATAATCATTTGTAATTAATTTAGCGATACAATAAAGGATATTTTTAACCTGTAGAAATCGATTATAAGAACTTATTGTTGAAGCTAACAGATGGTACGAAGAATTTTGCGCATGACATTCGCGTATGAATTTACGTAGTAATTTACGTTCGTATTGATTTACGGAAATTACAGACATTTCGCGATACTCTGTAACAGAGGCGCGTCGAGTGACGTATTCCGTCATACCTCGTTTCGTGGATGTGGCGGTCGGCATCGATGTGAGCTGCGACGGGATGCCGGCTCTATCAGTGGCAGTGATAGCCCACGGCCGAGTCTCGCTCTACTTCGTGGACCTCGTCGTCGTCGTCGTCGTCTTCGGGACGAGCCACTAACCTGGTAGTCATCTCCGCGACGACGGCCAGTCGGTCATCGTCCAACAACCAAAGTACGCACGCTTTAAAGACACAATGGGATTTTTTTGTACGTATGTACATCGATTTGTATCACATTATCGAATGTAAACACAAATCATGGAGTTATTTTTAGGATTGATGAATTCACTGTTTGGAAACCTATGTAAATTATTGTTGCAAGTTGTCGTTGCTGCAATATTCATATAAAAATGAGATAATGATCGATTGTCCGTGGCTCTAACTCCGCGTATACCTGATATAATATTACTATTGCTACCTACAGATCGGTGCCAACTTCGTGTGCAGACTACTGTGAAACTCTGCAGATGTTACACTGTTTTATAAACTGTTTCGAGACGTTATCTTTCACATTCATGCGTTTATTCAAGATCGGTAAAATACGTTCAGCATAAAAAGATGAAATCATAAAAAAAAAAGAAAAAAAATTACTTTTATATAATCGAATCGTTTGTCCTAACAATGTATACGAAGAATTTTTTACATTGAAAAGTTATGTAAGTTCTTGCAGTGGGTAAAAAATACGCATTTCTTTAATTAAAGCGGCTTGCGCTTACGTAAAATCCTATCTACTTATGTTAGTAAAATAGGTTACAACTTATTTTATTGTACTTTAAGTTCGACGCCTACAATAGCGTCACCGACAAACGCGAGGTTTTTACCGCAAACTGGGAGCGAAAGTTTGTTCTACTAACGCTTGAAGCGTCAAACCGTAATGACAATTTCTTGTTCACTTATGAAGTTAGAATCAACTTTTTACTATCAGAGCAGAGCTAGAATGGCCGATATGCCCGACTTGCATCCACTTAGTAGAATTTAACTCTAAACTTTCTCACAGAATTATAGAGAGAAAAAGAGCCAATCAAATGATAAAATCTTTGAGTTTCTCTTTTTCATAAATGTTGAATCAGCGATTTCTTCATGCGTGTCAATGCGATTGATGTGTAATCTTTTCTTTCTTTAATTCACCGTATCAGCGCGGAAAGTATGCTTTAAAAATTTAATCCTACGAAATAGGCACGACGGCTCAGTAACCTCGAATAGCAGCACGGCAGAAATGACATCGAAAATTTTCGTGTCGCGGCACAGAAATTGCATTCCTCCCTTCCTCTCTCTACGATCTTCCGCGGCCATTTCAATTTCGCGGGTATTCCCCGTTCCGGGAGATGCGATCGATTGACGTGTCATAGAAAAATGCAGCACACGATTCACAAATTTCGCCATCTGCATCTATTCGTTTGCACTCGGTATTTTACGACTGTGCAATTAAGGCGCATTTACATTCCGTTAGATTTCACCCGTAATTTTGAGAATAGACATCAGAAAACGATCTTCCAAGACAAGTTAAAGACCAGAGATAAGATTCTAAAGAAGATTTTTATCGAAGTAAAATTCAATTAAATTTAATCAAAGAACAAAATTTAATTACTTGTTAAGGCTTGATTCATCGAATTTTTAAAATTTTTAACATTGATTCTGTGATCGATGCTTCATTATTGAAATATTATCTTGCTGAATTCATTTTTTAGTATAATTAATAGTATAAATAATAGCTTTTGCTGCTAAAATATTGCATATCACATTTATACGCGCGCGTATGCGATGGCTATCTGTTTTCCATTGTACTTGTCAATATTTGTTTAATAAATTTCTCAAAACTTGCTTGCACGATTTCTTGTGTATTTTACGATTTTTAATAAAGTACTCAATTGTTAGTGACCAAGACATCGTCATTTCAAACACGCATCAGACCGTCGTTAATAAAGCCCGTAGAGGGAAAGAAAAATGCTCAGAAAAGCGTAGAAGCTGTCGAGAGAATGGTCCCACCAAATGACTATCGTTTGTCTTTCGGAGAATAAATCACCATACCCTTTGTGACACGATAAAGTCACACTGAATTACATTATTTATGAAGCATCTTGTTAAAATTACAAAATCTTAATTATCAATGCATTTAAAAATCATTAGAATAAAATATTTTTGTTAGAAAAAAATACCGTCCTCAACTAATGTGACAGAAATTGGTAAAGCAGACATATCACTTATCCTGAGATAAATAATATTAAATGTGTACATAAATTATAATATTTTGTAGATGTACTATTTGTATCAAATCTCTTTAGCCAATAAATCCTTCAATCTCGCGCAGCATATATTCTAACAATTCATCTTGAGTAAGTTGGTTTTGTAAAGTCGTTCGATATCTACACGGTTTAAATAAATGTGATTTACCTGATAAAATATCTGAAATTGTAAGAATAAATATTATTGTTTTACAAGATAGCAATTAGTTCTAAAATGTTTTTGTTGCACGCGCAGATTAAGAAAATCTTGTCGATGATACATCGGAAGACCATTGTTTGTTCTTAACTTTCCAGCTGTTTTAATATAGCGAGAGATCAAAATATTTATCTTAAAATGTCGGAGCGACTAGATATCTGGGAATATGAGCTTATTGCGTGATTATTGGATAAAAATGAGCTGAGCTCGATCGAAGAAAAAATCCTGGGAACCGCTGCGAAATGAAATTGCGCGGCGTATTATAGTATTTGTTGCGAAAGAAGCTTTTGTCCTGGAAAATTGAGATCTCCGGAAATAGAAGGTCTTATGTGTTTGGTCATTATCGAACATTAGACGACCATATATCTTTCCTCTCGCTTCCAGATAATATTAACTTATTGGATGAAAATTTGGTGCGCACTCCACGGTAACGAAAGCGCACGCTACAGTAAACAATGTTCGTAATATTTTACACGAACGCAATACCAATTTCTAGAACGCAGAGAGTGTTCTATGTAAAGATCTCCTGCAAGACAGATTATTCATTTACTTATTCATGGCAAAGTGAATTTCAAATGAGGGAGCCCATTGTGCAAGTATAACTAACCGAGCCAGTTTGCAAATATAGTGCTACGTCCTCCTATCAATTCTCAACTTGATTAGCATTAAAACGAACCTTTCGCTATTCCTCACGATGCTCTGCCGGATTGTCTCATCCTTCGACGGTACCGTTCGATACCGATTCGCACAGCTGGTCTTGCACAATTCGAGACGGTGCACGCGAGCACCGAGAGCTTGGCGACTCGAGCGATTTGAGGAGACACTCTCAGCTGCAGGCACCACCGCACCGTAAGGTACCTTTGAGTTCCCCGTGTTTCTTCCTCTTCTAGTCGGGCACACGCGCACACACGCCTACCCGGCCTCGTTCTTCAGGAAACGGTACCGTGCCAGGGGCACAAGGTGGTACCACCCACGGTACCGGGTCTCTTCGAGGCTCTACTGCCGCAAATTTCTTTCCGCGTCGTTGGGGTCACACACATGCCACAGAAAATATCGGGGATCGATGCTCGCGCGAAACGATCTTCTGCGATGGCATTGGCGACGAGCGCGAGTATTTCCTCTCTCGAGCCGTGTCACGAAGACATTTATATTCTGCGGGCGATGTCGGCGATTCGCGAGGATTTTCCTTGCCGTGGTCGCGTGCCGCGAACGAAATCTCTCGTAATGCGTAACTTAAACGGAAGTACGACGACGTGCTTGTTCGAACGCATGCCGGGATATTCCCCTAGATACGGCTAAGTCAACAGATTCGAGCCGCGCGATCGACCGACCCCGCCGTCCTCGCGGGTGTCCATATCCCCGCAATTTCTCGTCATGCCACCGTCTTTCCTCAGGACGCTCTTCTTCTAGTTTTACGTCGAGTACGCCGGACCCACGGTACCAGAATCATGCTTCCATCCTCTGCGTATTGGTCGGTACTTTCCTTCCGCGGACACTCGGCGAGAGTGACTTGAACGAGTCCCAAGATGAACTCCTGGTCGCATCCTTTGTCGGAAACAAGTATATGTCTTTCATATTTCGGATGTCCGTCACAAGTCTTTGAGTGTTTGCTACGAAATATCAATACTCCTGACAACAAAACTGGAGGAGAGACCGAAGCTGAAAGCAGAATCTCGTCGTTTGATCGCACTCAATGCTTGTCACTTTGAAATCACTCCAAATCTGTGTATATTGTTTCACGTCATCTTGCTACAGACACTCTATTTTCACCTAATTTTTTTATTTCTACGTTATCCCTTTTATTTCCGAAGTACGAAGAAAACAAGAGAAAATTGAGAAAGCTACAATTTCTTTTGAAATGAAAAATTCATTCTTCCAGCGCTCGAATTCATATCGCCAAGAGGAAAGTGTTTAAACAATTAAAAAATGGAAGAAAAAACGTTGCAAAGTGTCGAGAAGGAATAAAGAAAAAAAGAAAAAGGAGACAAGAATGCGCCTATTGATTTCCCCGTCCCAAAGAATGTTTCATTATTCGACAGCGTTGAAGAATACTCTTAGGAATTTCTTCACCTATTACAGCTCGGAAATTTCTAATAAATTCTCTAGTTTCCTTCCCTTTATTACAGCAACTCTGCACTAGCTACGGTTCATGAATTACTGATGTGTTTGCATATCAATGTGCGCAAAACGCTAAAACGAAATGTGTATTTTTGGAAGCGCCTGCTATGTACAGCAAATGCGTGCAGAACTCTGCACAATGGAATACTTAAGCGTGAGTCATCGCATAACACCTCGTAAAAATACCATAGCCATTCAGATTCCGATTCTTCACTTCCTCCCGTCTATATATCACCGATTACTCCGTATTTCCATTCCGTGAAATACACCTAACATTTATCTCTGGTTGGCTATAAAATTTGTCACATAAATCGCATACTTGATTCGAAACTGTTGATAATTGATCTTTTCTTACGTAATATGCATATTTTATGGAATATACATTGAATTAAGAAGATAATTGTTTGAAACTTAACGACGATTAATTTTGCTTTACATTAAATTCGCGATAACGAAATTAAAATTTAATTGGATTTTCATTCGCAACAGAGATACGCGGACATTTCTGTGATGTGAAAATTCACGCGTCGACGTCAGGTCGGAAAAGGTGGCGAAAGCAACTGTCACGATTTCTGCATAACAAACAGCTGGCGAAACCTTTCTATCAGTTCCGGCTGTCGGGTTGGAAATAAACCACAGACTTCTATATAATATACTACACCGTTAACAGGTATAAAACTCGAGGAATAAGACGCGATACACGAAGGGCAGTCTTACAGCTGAGTACACATAAAAGAGTTATTTGAGAGATATCGTAAAATTTCGTATGTCATAATCGTAAAATATGATAAAGTGAAAATAAATGCGACACTCTATACATGTTCAACTGTCTCGAAATATGGCGGCACCTGAATCACGGGCATTACTTCGGATATCGTTGTTAATGGTCGAATATATTATGCAGAAGCTGTGAAATAAATGTGTATCCGCGCCAATTTTGGAAAAATGGGGAGTGAGAGAGAAAACGATCGGTGGATATGCAAAAGCGTGAATATCCGATTGTGCTATGTGTACAACACAGTTAATTGTATAGATTATTCGACAGCGGCATTTATGCGGTATTTATACGCCACGGATTTGCGGGGTAAGCATCCACGCGTGTCGACACGGATAATACAATAAGAAGATGAATAAAGTACGCATGTTGCACGTAAATAATATGAGTAATTTCTTTACTGAGATTTCTATAATTCTTTTTCGGTAATTACGCGATGCTCTATAGAAATGCAAAAGAAAAAGCATAAAAAGAGAGAGATGTTTAAAGTATTCTTAAGTATTATCTCGTTATCAGTATTTAATGAGGTGAAAAAAAATACGAAAATTCCATTCATATTCGATGCTGCTACAATTTTTATTCTTTTCTCTTGTTTTCTATTCAATTTTAACATTAGTGATTTAAATTTCTTTTTTCTCTTTACCTCCTTATATTTTTATCTTTCTCAACCATTACTGTTCAGATTTCGTGATCAACGTTCGTGGGTTATTTTTCCTGGATCACGCGAAGAAACGGGTAGACTCTCATCTTCTTTTCGCTCTCTATTATTCGCAACTTTATATTCTTTTCGGCGGTATTCGTAATCTCGATGGATTCTCGCAGGCAGCCGTGTGGCCTCTTTTTGTATTTAGAAAAATTTCTTTTTTACGAAATTAAATTATTCACGTTGCACTTCATGTAATATTCGCACCCCGCTTCATATCTGGGAGAAGACACAGACTATTACATCTGCTTTCACTTGAGATACTTCAATTTCTTAAATATTACCGATGCTCTCTCTCTCTGCCTCCGTCTTCGTTCAATTATTACCTCCCTTTCCATCCTACTTTTCCGCGCGCATCCCCTTGTTTTCAAATACATATCACTCTAAATCTTATACACTAGCAAATTCCTTGGACTTATTCTTTCCTCGTTATCACTCGCAAACTCTTTGCCTCGCTCTTTCAATTTTATATTCACTCGTATCGCACGAAAAGTCCCTCACAGCGTCCCGCGTGTCCTCTTGCCCTCTTTCTTTCGCGATTATCACTACCCCCTCCCCCCTGCGCTACATCGCTCACCACCGATTTTATTTGCCTGCCATCCTCGCGGCGACGAGCGAACCCGAGGTGGAGACAGACAGGCGGAGGAGAGGCGAGGCGAGAAAGAAGCGCGCACACGCGCACCCACACTTACACATACGACGACGAGAACAGAGAGGGAGAGAGAGAGCGGGAGAGACAGAGAGAAGAGAGAGACCCGCAGGAAGTGTGCTTACGGCACGAAGTCGCGCGCTCCACTGAGCTATCAGCGGGCATGCGTCCGCGTAGTAACCGGTAGCCCGCTATACGAGCTTTCTCTGTCGTTTTTCCAACCCCCGCACGTCTTGACGGCGCGGCCACCTCTTCCGAGAGCAGCCGCCGCTACCGCCGCCGCCGCCACCAGCCGCCCCCGCGCTCCAGAGCCGTTCTCATGCGCCCATCCGAGCGTGCGCGCGCGTTCGCCTGCGTGCGGGATGCAACAGATGCACCGGACGCGAATCCCCGACCCGGGGGTGTGGTGCATGTATGCACAGTTACGGAACGGTCGCGTACGTACCGAGCCCATTACACAATTGAACGTAACAACGAATAAAAAATGGGAGATACGACATCGATTTATCGTACCAGGTTATCTTTAGAAGATAGTGAACCGTTAGAGTTACCCCCTCGTTCATACTCGCCGTTGTGTTAGAAACTATGGCATTCGCTCCCCTCGAGAAAATAGTTTAATGTAGATTGTGTTTATGATTTATTATTATCATACAAAAATTTTTGATATGTGATATTAATATAACGGAGATTTATATATTATAAAATAAAGTTTCACCAGAATACACACATCGACTTTCCTTGTAGTTTATAATAATATGCAATTATATAATTTATGTGGCAAGTGATTTTGTATCAAAAGCTTTACCGTTTATTAATTATTATTTATCCATCAATAAAGATTTTCGGCAACATAAGATTTTTGGAGCAGTATTATTTATTGTATTATTTATTGTATTATTTATTTATATTTGTAGATATATCATCAAATCATTATGAAAGAAAGAATTCTTTTATATCATTAGATATATTTTTAATCATCTACATTGAACTATTTCTCATTGATGTGAATATTTTCTTAAAGGTTTTTTTTTTAAATTGATGATGTCAGTTATGACGTCGTAATATAGATGCGGTAAATTAGAAATCATAATCTATAGCTCTGATAATGTAACTGCCTATAAATGTAGTAAAGAAACACAAGATGCAGCATAATATTTTTTCAATAAACATAAATTTCTAAAATAAATACAGGAGTTACATAGTATAAATGCAAATTTTAGCAAGTTTATTCTTAAATATTAAAATAATCAAATGTTTTCTTCTTTTTTTATATGAATTTAATTAAAGAAAAAGGGAAGTTTTCGACCAATCCGACGTTAAAGAGAGAAATTGAATACATTAATAATAATTCCATATATATTCTTTTGTAATTTAACTTATGATAATTAGTTAATATATATAATTATAATATATGATAATTAGCTAATTAATTAATTAGTTATTTTTGAGTCGTAAATTTCTAAACATGTTGAATGCATAATTAGTGTTATTATGAATTCAATTTGAAGACTTTGGCAATGTTTGTCAATTTTCCCATAAAAAAATCAAACCTACAATGATATTTGTCATATCGACAAATACTGTTGCTTATGAATGAGTAATAATAATAACATATATTTCAAATACCCCAATGGATAATCTATTTTTATTCGCACGGGTTTGAGTCTGGAATAATCATGCTAATCTAAACAGAAACCTGACAATAAGAGCGACCATCCCGGCGTTTCTCGCGGACTGTTTATCGATCCCAGTTCAGCACTGCTATCTGCATCCACTTTATAGTTGAAACTACATAGTCATTTTTTGACACTGTCAATAAACGATACTGTTGTTTGGTAAATATCTGATGTATATACAGATATTGGGTATTAAAATCATTCTCTGTCTATGGGTTTAATTACTTAATACAATACAATTCGAACTTTTTAAAATAATGCAGATATTTAATTAATAAATATTAAATAAATGGTCCAAAAATAATTAGAAAAATTAGCGTATTGTAAGAATAATAACAATTAATTTTATAAATTAATTGTAAACATACTTTTAAATTCCTATTATCTGATAAAACAATTTGATCTTAAATTACCGTACACGATGCGCAGCGGCGGAGTTGTTCCGTTGATCTGAAAGATACAAAAGAACGTTTAGATTATAGCAGTATATAACATAATTAGTACTAAAAAAAATAATTGCTCATATTGAACCTATTATTTATCTTTTAAACAAATAGCTATGAAAAAAGAATCGACAATTTAATTGTTTGAAATAAATATAAAAAATAAAAAAAAATTTACAAATATTCTTCCGTCATTTTCTACAAAGTGTCATATATATATATATATCTGTGCAATTGATATCTGAGTATTATCTTTGTCTTTATGACAAAGTACGCATCGGGAATACTATATAAAATGTCGCGCAATAATAATTAATCAAATTTTCGCGAGTATTGTGAATCCGTGAGTGGGTATTGAGAAAAAGAAGAGACTCATAACGGGGCAACTTTCAGGTATTTATCGTTTATTTATTACCTTAGTTGCAAAATATTACCCACAACATGTTTTAAAAAATTCAGTAAAACAATTAATATTTTTTTACTTTTTATATTTATTAATATTTCAATCAAATGTTGATAATTTTTTTATTAGCTACTTACTTGAAAAATCAATAAAAGGTTTAATGTACGCAATTATTTTTCAAATACTAATTATGTTAAACGCAGCTATAATCTGAATGTTCTTTTGTATTTTTACTGATCAACTTTGCAGATCAATGGAACAACAACTCCGCTGCTTCACATCATGTACGATAAGTCGAGATCAAATTGTTTTCATTTCGTTATTAAGATAATAAATCTGTGAAAATAATGTCAGATATTTCGATTTTAAAATATTAAAATATTTTAATTAAATTTATGTAAAATATATATGTTATAATTACAATATTTCAAAGATCTATTGCCTTAAAATAAATGGACTAGAATAAATTATAGTTGATATTTAACTCTAGAACATAAGTACGATTATTTGTCGTTTTATTGTGCACGTGAGAATACACAACGCTTAACAAAGCTTAAAAATAAAAGTCATTATATATCGACGAAAAGAAACAATTTTCTTATTTTTATATGATAAAATATTAATTACAAGAGATCAAATAGTCTCAAATTTATAGTTTATGGATATTATTA